TGGAATTCTAAATATATTATTAGCAACACAAACAATAGCATTCATTAAAAATATACGGTTCATAGGAAAACCAGGTATTCATGAATTTCAAGGAGTAGCTAGCCTAATTTCTATCATGCTTCTTGTTGAACATAGTTTTACATGATGGAATAGATAAACATGAATTTTAAAGAATGAAAATAAAAATAATCCAAATGAATAAACAAATAAATAAAATATTGTAATATGTGGAGGCCCCCAGATTGTGGAGGCCCCTGGGCAGCTGTCCACTTTGCCCACTCCTGAATCCGGCCCTGCGACAGGGATACGTTCCTGGACCCTGATTGTAAGTTAGAACACTGTTAATTCTATAGTTTATGGTAAGGTTAAAGCACAACTCTGCCTATACGGTACAGAACAACAATAATATCCCACACATAACAAATAATGTAAATACTGTAAATAAAGTAATGTTAAACAATATAGAATAATAAAAATAATGTAAAAAATTATTTTAATTATTTTTTTTTTAGATGAATGTACTGTATTGGGATCCCATTCGTAAGTGCGGATGATTGTAAGTAGGACAGTCATAACTTGGGGACTGCCTGTATTTTATATGCAAACATTCCAGTAAGACATCCCTTCCCAGCCCCTAGCTACCTCAACCCTGATAACTCTGAATATGAATACGTATTGTTCAGGGCCGGATTCAGGAGTGGGCAAAGTGGGCAGCTGCTCGGGGCCTCCACAATCTGGGGGCCTCCACATATTACAATATTTTATTTATTTGTTTATTCATTTGGATTATTTTTATTTTCATTCTTTAAAATTCATGTTTATCTGATTAATTATGCAAAGAATCATCTCTCTGTAATAACTAATAATATATTCTTTTCTGTGAAGTCTCTTGAAAATTTTTGACATGTGCGGTAGTAGCTACTGTATATCAGGGCTGGTCGACTTGAAACCACATGAATGACTCCAGTCATGTCTCACGTTTGTGTGTGTGTGTGTGTGTTGGGAATTTGTACACTATCAATAAATATACAGTTAATTAAAAATTTCTCAATGTTCTAATTTCCTCAATATAACTGCATATGGCTTCAAAATTCTCCAAAGAAGTGTTCAAATTTCAAAATTTTCCCGGGGGGCTTACAGCGCCCCCCGGAACTCCCAGATGTTTAGGCTCGCTTCACTCATCACCCAACCCTCTTGGGTAGTTATAACGAGGGGGGCCTCCACAGGTCTAAATCCGGCACTGGTACTGTTCATTTACTAATCCAATGAATATTTTGTTGCATGTGTGTGTTGTACAGTACATATATGCATTCACATGCATACTTGCTGTTGTGTATGCATCTGTTTATGCGTGTAAATGCTGTATTGGGTATAACTATTTTATATGAAAATATGAGCAAAAAGTGCAAGCCTTGGTCGTTGCTTTATCAGTTTAAAAGAGTAAAAATTTGGGTTTCAGATAAAGGGTGTAAAATTGGAGATGTTGGAATTGGGATGCAAAGGAGGATTAAGCATACAAGTGGGGATATTTTATTTGCACTTCACTTTCCGTGGTCAGTACTTAATTAGTACATATGTTAACTTCTTGTCTGCCAGTATTGTTATTTTCATTATTGCTTTCCTCAGGTCAGGTGTGAAATAGTGAGCTCAAGTTGAAATGATACAGAACACCTCCGATATACAGTAATCATCAGAAGAAATGTAGATTGTGTTGTGTGCATTTAAGATGTTAATTTTGTTTCATCAGTTTGTGCCACATGCAGCTAAAAGGTTAAAAAATCTTATGGGAATTACTGAGGACAAGTGACTGAAGTTCATCCATTGTGGTTTGGTTCTCAAGAGTTGTGCATCCATCCGAGTGTAGCTGCTCCTTGAAGTCAGCCCACTCTCACGGCCATGGGACTCAGAGTGTACTGTACTGAACTATACTGTGTTATGTAAAAACCACAACTTTTCCTAAATAAATGGGACAACTGATCTACATAAACTTGATTTTTTCCAGGTGTTGGGACATGACTTAAAACATTAATACCGGTACCTATAGTTTAATGGCTAAGATTTGACCATAAATATTGGAATATTTTAGTGGTTGCCGTCTATTTATAAATGCACAAGTTGTCTTATATTCTGGTGCTTTTTGCCTTTTCTTTTTACCTTCAGTATGCCGTCACTCGGTTTACATCATCAGGTTTCGTGTATCATTCCAACCGATCCTCCTCTATTGTTACCCATATTGGCGGCCTTCTTACTCACACATCCTCAAGTTCCCACATGTTGTACTTACAGTTAACCTTTTGTGTTGTTTTATAAATGCTCTTTCACTATTTTTTCTATTTAATATAGTGTATCTTGCCTCAGTAACTGGTATGCCATATAGTTTCTTTTTTTCTTAAATAGCCATGTTTTCCTATAAAAAAAAATCTTCAATTTATAAAGTAATTACTGTATCTGTCCTGTCACATCTTTCTCCATTCTTCACTATGTTTTCATTACCTTTTATCTCTTGAAATTCATTTTATCTGCTTGTAACTCTGTTAGTCTGTTGCAGATTACTACCCACACACACACAATAGTAGTACAGTATATTTGATAGCCACAATAGTTTTCTGTATCTCCACTTTTCTTTTTCTTTTTTTAGTTCCAGGGATGTACTAAAACAGTATAGTACTGGTAGCTCAATGTCCTATTGTTCAAGTATTCACCATCCATATACAATAGCGATATTAACCATTCAAATATATAGGTAGTTAAACCTAAGACCTTTTCCACTTTTTCATTTCATCATAATGCATGATTTGTCATTCTTTCTCAGTGTGAATCATAATTGTAGAAATACCGTAATCTTTTTTTTTTCTTGTGTTACTTGCCATATTTTCTTCATCTTTACTTGAAACTCAGTGACCATTTCTGTAATTTTATCAGCCACATGTTATTTTCAGTTTTTTCTTCTATGTAGTATTTTTATAATTTGTTATTGGATACATATGGTTGTCTCTCCTCAACACTTCTGTCTCACTCCCTTCCAATTTGTGCATCATAGCTTACTTCTGTACATTGTGGATGAAGATATCACACCTTTTGTGTTCAGATCTTCAGCTGTTTGTGTAATACAGATTGATACTAAGGTGAACAGGCTAGAGGCTTTTATTCAGCTATCTAGCATCTCTGATGTACCCAGTTTCACTCATAATGCATTCATTGCCTCTACCATTTTTTGTCTCATTTATGCAATGAATGTTTCTGGTGCATTGTTATAACATTCACCTCCAGGTCAGTAAATTTACCAAACAGTTTTCTCTTGTACTGGTCTGTTTTCTATGGCTGGTGCAAGTAACATTTTCCGGTGAAGAACATTGATGGTCTGAAATCCAAACTATTTTCTTGTGCTGTACTACAGTATTTGTATCATTACCATACCTTATGTCCTAGAGGACAGTGTCTTGTATATATTTTTTTATACATGTATAATGGGCTCGCCCTTGTAATATGATGATATTTACCTTTTTCACAGTTCCTTGGTATATAGTACGGTATTAGCTTCCTTTAACTCTCTTGTACAGTGTACATAATGCATGAAAGCATATAAGTTCAGTGCAGAGCAGTTGGTAAATTTACACTGAATATTATTTGCTCAAGTGCTGACACAGTTTCTCTATGCATGTCACTTGCAGATGATTTTTGAGAAAACTCTGGTTCCTTCCATAGTGAAAAATGTTAAGAGAAGTTAGATTGATTTTTACTCTTTAGTATTACAGTACCTCAGAAATTAAATGCTATGAAATAGTAATTTGGCAGAAACATTATGGATATAGTAATGTGTATGTACAGATCTTCTAATATGTGGATGTGTGAAGAATAGTTTGTAACTTTTTTTTTACGCTGTCAAAGACTTCTAGGTCGTCGAGGTTGCACATAGTGTATAAGCATTCAGAATGGAGTGACTTCTGATCTCAAAGTTTCAAAGTAGATTCCTGATATGGTATTTATATTTCCCATTTGTATGTGTATATGGAGACATGAACTTTTTGTAATGACTATGTACATATTTTATTTTAGAAACTTCACACCAAAGCCTGATACAGTATACCAGGGAAGTTGTATATACAGTATAGTACAGTACAATACAGTATACACTAACAAGTAGTAAACATCTGAAGTTTATATACTTGCTCATCATGATCCTTATCAAGTGCTTCTTGGTTACCAAAATTTTATTTGTGATTGAATGTTGACTGAAAGTTTTGCAATGCATAATGTACCTTCATCAACAGTTTGATCTATTGATGCCTATAAATAATTTTAGGTACAAGGTCCATTTTTTTTATTATTATTATTATTATTATTATTATTATTATTATTGCATTTACTCTCATCAGAAGTTGTAGATTTTGTACTAATGCATATATATATATATATATATATATATATATATATATATATATATATATATATATATATATATATATATATATATATATATATATATATATATATATATATATATATATATATATATATATATATATATATATATATATATATATATATATATATATATATATATATATATATATATATATATATATATATATATATATATATATATATATATATATATATATATATATATATATATATATATATATATATATATATTTCTGTACAGTATTGCAATATATGGATATTTTGTTACCACTGTACCGGTATTTAATGTTACAGTACTGTACTAACTAAATTGTATGAAGGGTACCCCGGTACAGACAAAATCATTGAGAAACCAAAGATAAAATTTTAACTGTATGGTAAATTTAACATATTAATAAATATAAATTTTTTAAAGTTATAATCCCATTCATTGTTTCATTTTCTTTGATAAAGATGATACTGTCAAATTGGAATTGGTCTTTGAGTATGCCTGGCCATTAGGCTGTGCATGCACTGATCCCATACATCAGTGTGGATCACAAAGATTTTTGTTATAGAGCATTATTCTTTGTCAGTGTTCAAATGGACATCTCATGTGTGCTGGATGCTTCACCCATCTCCTTGCTGATGCCCGCATTCGGGATGAGACAGCCACATGCCCCAACTGCCGTGTGGAAATATCTCGGTCCCTCGCCACAAGGAATTTGGGTAAGAATTATTCTGGCTAAATTGGGTCCAGAGACAAGCAGCAGAGGATCAATAATGTCTGGAGTATTATTAATAAAGTTATTGACATTATAAAATTTGCTTGTTGTTTTTATTACTCATCCATTATCAAACTTTAAAACCATGATGTACACAAGACATAGATGTCAGTCTCTGGTAACATTATTCAAAGGATGTCATTTTCTAGGTGTCACTTAATCTGGGTACATGTATTGGTTTATTGGTTTTGATCTGTTCATTTAACAATTTAAAGCAGGTTTTATGCAAAGGTTCCAGTCAAAATTATTTTATGATAATAACCAGTATTTTAAAGCTAAATTCTAGTGAACTGAAGCACTGGTGGCTACCAAAAATCTGCTTCTTTCACTTCTCAGTAGATTTTACTGCTCTTCCCTTAGTGAAAGACAAAAAGTTCATCAGGACTTTGTACAGTATTCATTGTATTCCACAAATGTATATGAAATGTGTCTTCAGTATTATTAATTATTAGACAATTATTCCATTATAGCGGTAGAGAAAGCTGTATCAGAGCTGCCAGCAGAATGTCAGTTTTGTGGACAGAAGTATCCTCGAAATTCCCTCGATCGCCATGAGGTAGAACTTTGTGAAGAAAGGTAAGAACTGGTCTCCTTTCTTCTTAGTTACCCAGTATTCTGATGCAACTATCCAGGCTTATACAGTATTGTGGTGAAACATTTATAAAAATAGATATGCCATTATTGTCAAACAGTGTACAGTATTAACATTATAATACCTTTAGTAGTCATTCACAGCCTTAATTGTAAGTGTTAGACTGAATTGTTAGATGCTGTTAATCATGGAATGCATTATTTAAATCATATGTAAGTCACAGTTTTAGATTGGCAAGCAGAGTCTCCCCAAGGGAGACATAATCTCTGTAGGAAATGGTGTTGTCACATAAATGACCTTATCGAGTTGGTTTGTTAGTTTGTACAGTAAACCCTTAAACTACGCGGGTTTAAACAATGCGGCCATCGACCCTCTAGGTTTTTACAGGAAGTGTGGTGACTGAGGTATCCTCAAAGAAGATTTTCCCCCATTGTTTCTTTGCATCTTTAAGAGTTCAGAATTGTATTGAAAAATAGTAATTACATTTAACTCCTTTGTAGAATGGCTCATGTTTAATTGTTTTGTCTAAGCAATATCCAATTTTGTGAACCTTGACACCTTTACCAAACAGCTCATGTTGATGTTACAGCTAATTTTAGGGGTTTAAGACAGTAGATTACTGTACTTCCCAAGTGACTGATAAGGGCTCATCTCATCACCCTCCACCACAGATATCATCCTAAAAGGAGAGAATGAATGCAAAACTTGCCTTGTAGAGGTAGGAAATCACTGAAGTCAACCTTGTGTGCTTAGACAGCTTACATATCATGCTAGCTATAATTTTCCATCACTGCTTTTACAACTGATGGCCAGATTTCTTGTATAGTATGCTTATTCCATAGTCTTTCAGACAAAATCAACTTGTGGTCAGAGTTTGTTGGTTTTGAGGGATTTTCTGTCATCTGTTTGCTTGAAAAGTTACCGTCATTATCTTTACAAAAGTGATGACTCGGTTTCTTTCATATTATATCATTATGTACTGTATACTCAACCCATGGTTCTTCACATCTTATTGGGATATGGTCACAAAGTCACAACATACCAATTCCCAGAATAATTTTTAAAATCTTCACTCATCCAATTTTGCTCATCTACAGGTAGTTATAGTTCACAATAGTTTCCAATCATTACCTCCACACCTGATTTGCATGTGGTTGTGGCACATTGATTTTCAGAAACTTTCTGCGATCTGAATGGTCGAGAGATTTCCAGTTATCATTTTCATACCTGAATGCTTAACTGCTTTCATGTAACAACTTTTACTTGCCCCATTATTTTTCAAATGTGATTAGCATATTTATCCAATAATGTACTGTACAGGGATTTCTAGAATTTTTTTTTAGATGCTTAGTATGAAGTTGATAATTTGCAAACTACTGTACTGTACACTGACAAGGCTGAAATACCATATGCAGAAGTTATCAGAAGATGTTTATGACATCAAGACAAGTTGGATATATAATGTACAGGAACATATGAAATTGAAATCATCAGCATGTATTGCAAATAAATACCTGTGCATGTATTATCTTTTGCAAATTGAATCCATAACTTTGTAAATTATTGTCACAAGAATTAATAGTAAAGCTATAAACATTGTATATTATAATTAGGATTGGACCACAGTAGTCTAAATAAAAGCTTTCTCAGTTATGAAGGCCACACCTAAGAAAATTAACAAGAAAATATAAGCAATTTATCTAATCCAGATTTTCATTGTACAGTACAGTAAGTCCTCGCCTAACGTCGAGGTTACATTCCTAAAAACGCAACGCTATACGAAACAACGTTAAGCTGATCAATTTTCCCCAAAAGAAATAGATAAACTACGGGAGTTAACTTGAGCCTCCCTTTGCCCCATGAAATACATTACTGTACATATACAGAAAATCTTTGCCATTTCTATAGAAAATAATGCATACTTATACAACTACTAAGTTTGTATTGATACTTAACGATGGGCGGAGGTGGTAGAGCGAGAGTGTGGTGGGTAGTGAAGCAGAGGAGGCGGATGGCGGGAGCGGAGGAGGGCGGTGAGTCACTGAGACTCTGCGCCAAGCCGAGAGAGCATAGTGCGGCCAGACGAGAGAGGTTAATGCACCATAAAATGTAGTCTGTGACGACGCAAAATGACATAGTATCGGATCATCAAGACGTTAAACGAATTTTTGGTCTCTAAAGTTTAGCGACGTAGTACCAAAACAACGATAAGCAGGACGACATTAAGCGCGGACTTACTGTATTTGTTATCAACCTGATTAGTTTCACACACTACCCATGTAGGTGAAAGTATGGGTGAGGGATTTTAAAACATTAAAAAACACAAAAGATATGGTTGCAACTAACATGAGATAACCAAATGAGGAATAAAGGGGGGGGGGGGACATAGTGAGAGAAGCTCCCTGTCCATAACCTTTATCTAACCTGGAGAAGTATCTCATCTGACTGCACCATCACTTCTCTGTATTTTTTCCTTATATAAGTATTGTATATAATCATATAACAACCTGGACCACCAAATTATTAAGATATTATATCTACACTATCTTGTATTATACATGGTTTAATTGCTTTTGTGTATTACAGGCCAGTGCGATGCCAGTACAATGTCCTGGGTTGTGGATGGCGCGGGCCACATCATGATGTCAGCAGTCATGAGCAACAGTGTCAACAACCCACTCATACTGGAGCACAGGTCAGCAAGTCAAGTTCGTGGCTAAATTCGCTTAGTAAAATATGTTGCGACTCAACCTCCATTAGTCACCCATAATTTTGTAACTAAAATGTATTTCTATATTCCATGGAAGTCTAGCAGTGATATACAATACAATATCTGTATGAACTTATTTTAGAAATACTGTACAGTATTTGCAAATCATTAGTTATGTGGAATATGCTTCCATATGCAGATAATTAGTCAAACAGTGTTAGTACTGTGGTACATATTAAATAATTACCATTTATTATGCTTATCTTTTAATGTGTAGGACAAACTAATGTTTTATGTTATGCAGGTGTTTTCACACCTGCAAAGACAGTCAGAAACTGCAGAGGAGGCCTCCAAGACCTTCAATCAAATCATGTCTGTACTTTCATTTGAAAAGATCACTTTTAATGGTGAGGACCAGTTGTCCAGAATACCTGCAGGTTTCTCATAATCACATTTACATACTGCCATTTCTTGTACTGTATGGATTTAAGATGTATATTAGTGTTGGGTATGTTACATTCCCATAGGAAGTAGGGTTCTTTAGGTAAAGTTTAGCAGTCAGTATGGTCATTTAGTCGTGCTTATACATTTCAACTTCAAATTTTAGACATTTTGAATACACACACAAGTGCACATACCCAAAATACTATCTGAAATGTGAAATTAAAATTAATATGGATTATCAATGCAGACTACATTGACCTTTATCTTAAGATTGAACATGCATATGTGTAGGTACTGTATGTGTGTGTATACATGTGTGTATGAGAGAGATAGAGATGCACCATAAACATTAATATAAGCCAACATAAGTAACAACCAAAGTTAACCCTTAAGCCCTGGGTTAGGGTGCTGCTGGCAGTAACCACCCCCCCCCCTCCCACCCTGCAGGGATAAATAAAAAAGAAATAAATTTTTCAAAAAATAAAAATAAATAAAATCGTTGGCGGGAAAATAGGCAGATGGTCTGCAACGTCACCCGGGGCCTAAGGGTTAAATATGAACTCTAAATCTGATTATTATAACCAAACATGTTTTTAATGATACAGTACTTTCTTAAAGATTGCTCTAATGCTTTTATGCTACCAGCTTGAGTAAAGCTTACATTTTGCTAGACTATTGTAGAAATAAAAAATACCTGTTATAGTGGTACTGCAAATATCTTCATAAATACTGAAGGTATTATTGTTTTATCATTTTAGAGAACCAGTAAGAAATTATAAATTGCATTTTCTTAAAAGATTTGCAGCTGAAACCTTACCGGACAGATGAGTTTATCCACAAGCTGTTCTATGAAACAAGTCGGTTCTCGGCTCTCGGCTATCAATGGGTGATCAAAGCGCGGCTCAATGACAACCAGAAGGATCCACACCTGACGTGTAACAGATTCATCACATACCAGGTAATTATGCTTATTCATCAGAATATATTGAATTTGACATAAGCTTTATTTCATGAAGAAAGGCAAAATACCGTTTAAAGAATTATAAAGAAGTATTGCGTTTCGCTATTGTTTGCAGTATTAGGCAAAAAATACATTAATATTTATTTGGTTCCGTGTGGGCAATACTCTTTGGAGAGTAATCAATAAGATCCTCCTATGCTGAATATCCTGTGACTCAACCTACCATTGTTCTGGATAATGATTGTTCAGTAGAAGAACACATTAGTCAAATGAAGATGCTTTTGTTGTCAATACAACTCTATCCAGTTACACTAGAGTCCTGATAAAGAGGTCCTTAAAAGTTTGTTGAGAGTTAAACTCATCATCATCATTTTAAGGCCATTTTCCCTGCTTGCGTGGGTTACCTGATGGCAGCTCTCCATGCTATACAGTCTCTTTTGTTTGGTTCTTACCTAACTAATGTTATTCCTTACAAATTTTCCCCATGTCATTCTTTGTCTACCCCTGACTCTCCTTCCCTCCACATTTAGGCTCTTGACCCAATTGGTCTCATTAATTCTCTCCACATGGCCAAACTATCTCAAGCTGTCTCTGTGCAGAACTTTGCCAATACTGTATTCTCAGTACCTAGCTAACTTCATAGCTCTGAATTGGATCTCCTGTCTTTCAGTGTTACATTACGCATCCACCTCACTATTCTCAGTTCACTCAAGTCTGCTTATGTCATCTTCTTTAACTACCCATGTTTCATTGCCATACAACATCACACTTCTCAGGACATGCAGACATCTTTACTTTCACACGGAGGGAAGGTCCTCTTGCCATCAATAAAGGTAAAGGTTTCCTAAACTTCCTCCAACCACTTCTGACTCATGCAAATGAGTTAGCTTCAACACCCCTTCCAGCATTGATCATGTCATCCAGGTAACAACTCATAAACTTAGTCCAGGGATATATCCTTAATGTTGAGTTTCTCCAGCCTTGCTAGGCCTATGATTATCTGGACATGAAGGACATTTAAAGTCAGTTACATCCAACAGTCTGCCATTTACTTCACTGCACCTCCTGTGTACCCACGTTCCAAATTCACTTCACTTTATTGAGTTGCTGCCAACACCTTTCTTACTGACAGCACATGACTATTTTCCACTTTTCAACATGGGTCCCTCACCCATGGCACTAATCAATACCTTTGTTTTGCCACTTTCGCTGTCATGCCCTTTGACTGCAGTGTATGTATTCCATCCTTCCATTTCTTAAATTTCTCCTCTGCCTCTTCAGTACAATCAACTGTCAGCACTAAGTCATACAACAACTCTCATGACAAACCAGTTCTAAAGACCTATGATATTGCCTCTAGCCCCATGGTAAACAGAAGAGGGCCCTGATTAATCCCTACTTTCACAGTAGTTTTTTCACTTTTTTCGATATTTACTCTCACAGCAGTTTTTAACCCTCATAAAAAGCCATAGCCACTCGAACAAGACACTCCCCAACCCCTAGCTTTCTCATTGTTCACTTTACTGCCTCACATGGTGCTCTATCAAATGCCTTCTCTTAAGTCTACATATACTAAGTACAACTTTCTCTCCTTCCACAGATATTTCTCTTGTAGATATGTAGCCATTAATATTGCCTCTGTAGTCCCCAAACAACTTTCATTAGTGTTCACTCTCCCTTTTCAGTTTCTCAATCACTCATTCCACAATTTTCATAACCTGATCTAACAGCTTCACGCCCCTGTAGTTCCCACATTAAGAGTGCATCACCTTTACCTTTGTAGGTATTCACAATCACTTTCTTATGTTCATTCATCTGGAACAGTACATTCCATCATGATTGCATCAGTCAATTTGGTCCCCATCAACATGCCTACATCATCTGATGCTCTTAGTATATGGGTATCTTTAACTATTCCAGAACTTCCAGCTGCCTTTGCATTCTCCATCGTGTAAATCGCTTTCTTCAACCATTCTCTTTCAGTCCTTGGGCATGGCCACTGTGGGCCATATTCACAGTCATTACACCACCCTACCAATCAGGAACAGCATTTTTTTTTTTTTTTTTATGGGGTCAGCCCACCAGGGCACAGGTTAATGACCCACATCAGGGCCTGAGGGGCAAAAATATAATAATAATTATTAATAAAAATTAATAAACAAAATTAAAAAATTATTTAATAAAAATACAATATAATAATAATAATAATGATGATGATGATGATAATAATAATAAAGGTCCATAAATAAATATATAAAAAAATCGATCAATAGTGAGAAACGATATATGTAAGTTGTGTTGCCAAAGTAAGAGAAGCAATTGAAACCCTGCAATTGTGTGTAAATGAAGCAGAAAGTCAGATCAGCAACCTGGAACCTGGTCACAATTTTCGTGATGCCATATGGCAGCAGGATCTACCATTAGACAACACATTATGCTTCCAATATCTTCCCAGATCCGAAGGTAGTCCCAGGGGATTGGGTTTGTTATCACAATCATTGGAGCATTTCATCGGGAGGGGATACTCGCCCTATGGCAGTGGCGATGATTATAAAAACCTTTTTCTCCCTCCAAATTTTGATCTATTGAGATAGAATATATATTCAAAACTGATAGAAAATGGGTTTGTTGGTGACAGAAAATGTTATTTCCATATACTACTGTACATTTAAAGATTGTCTTATTTACAAGTGTTAAATAATCCCAGCTGATCGTGAGCGTGCAGCCGTGTGTAACCAACACCGTGCCACTAAATACTTGTGAACTGCAGGCAGTATTTTAGAGAAGAAACAAAAAAAATCTACTTGTAGAGATATGTCAACGCACCTGCATGTTTATGTACACGATAATTGATGTTTAAGATCAACCGAGTCAGCCTTATCACAGAGGAATGTGACTCTATTCAAAACCTTATCAATTATTTTTATGTGGCACTGCAGCTGAGAACCAAACCGGGGCACAATATTCAAGGATGGGCAACAGAAATGAAGTAAAACAGAATGTAATAATACAGTACAGTATTAACATTCTGAAAAATTAAATCTTTTACAAACTATAACAATTTTGTGAAATGCTGACGAAGCTACAGAATATATGTGATGAGGTTAGTTTAGGAATTCTCTCCTAAATAGCCATTTGCTAAAAGGTAAGGCCAGATATTGCATAATTTTGCCCTTCTCTTGAATAAGGCTAACAAGAGCACCGTGCAGTTAAAGGATAGCTGTATGCTACATTCATGACTATTCATATTTCTTGCACTTTCTCCCATTGTGTTGTTGTGTCAGCTGAATCGCTGTATGCCAACTGTCAACCATCCCAGTGTGGCCATCACCTGGAGAAATATAACCTTTAAAACAAACCTCACAAACACCAGAGAAAAATCATTTCTATATCCCATTGATATCCTCTTAATACTTTTTTTTTGTGTTGGTTACATTTTTTATGTTTGAGGGAAATATTATTGGGGTACTTGACGTCTAGGTTGTGTTAACAGTGGACTATCCAGCCGATTATGAAATGTTGGTACCCCTGCCCAATTCCTTGGAATCCCATCCCATCGTAGTGCCCGAAGCACGTTCTGGAATGACCGCTCCCGATGGTCAACCTGACCGTCAGGCATGACGACTGTGTATGCGCCCCTGTATCAGAAAAAAAATTTGATTATCCACTTTAGCTGCCAAGGACAAAAGAGTACAAGTTGGACCTCGCTAATCTGGGACCTGATAGTCCGGCAGCTTCACTAGTTCAGGACGCATATAGTGAATACAGTATTACCCCGCCTAACGCGGTTTCACTTAACGCGTTTTATCATATACGCGGTGCCTCGCCAGAGCTGAACTTTCACTTAACACGGATTTTTTCCACATATACGCGGTGAGTGTCTGGCTCGAGACGCTATTTTTAGATTTGCCCCACCCGCCACCCTGCCTGACTGCCTGTTTTAGCTCATAAAATTCATACAAATTACCCGGCCAGAATATAATTTACATTGTTGGAATTCTTATAATTTGGTGATCATTTTGAATATAAACATCATATATTTTGCATTAGACATACAAATTTTAGATAAAAAATTTTCTCAGAGTAACTATGTTATCTTTTGTGCAAAATATATGACATTTATATTCAAAATATTCCTGGTCTTACAAGGAATCCAGCAATGTCAATTATATTATCCTAACTTTAGTTTGAGGTATTATTTATTAAAATTTAGTGGTTATCCCACACATCTCCTTGGGACGGTTGGTGGGGGGTGGGGGGGAGGGAGGGACCGACCGACCATCTGTTACCCCGTGAAGAATTATTATTTTTTTTATTAACTGAAGATATTTGTTTTAGCTCATAAAATTCATACAAATTACCCGGTCTGAATATAATTTACATTGCTGGAATTCTTATAATTTGATGATCATTTTGAATATAAACATCATATATTTTGCATTAGACATACAAATTTTAGATAAAAATTTTTCTCAAATTAACTATGTTATCTTTTGTGCAAAATATATGACATTTATATTCAAAATATTCCTGGTCTTACAAGGAATCCAGCAATGTCAATTATATTATCCTAACTTTAATCTGAGGTATTATTTAATACTAAATGTTAAAAACTCTGGAAGGGAGGATTGGTGGGGGGTGGGGGGGAGGGTTGGGACTGACCGCGCGGTTGGAAGAGGGGGGGAGGCAAGGTGGGGTACTTTGATTGACAGATAGTGTTGTGAAGATTATTTTTTTTTTTATTAACTGAAGATATTTGTTTTAGCTCATAAAATTCATACAAATTACCCGGTCAGAATATAATTTACATTGCTGGAATTCTTATAATTTGGTGATCATTTTGAATATAAACATCATATATTTTGCATTAAACATACAAATTTTAGATAAAATTTTTTCTCTAGGTAACTATGTTATCTTTTGTGCAAAATATATGACATTTATATTCAAAATATTCCTGGTCTTACAAGGAATCCAGCAATGTCAATTGTATTATCCTAACTTTAGTTTGAGGTATTATTTATTAAAATTTAGTGGTTTTCCCCCAAAAATTTCTCTGAGAGGGAAGAGCCGGCAGTGTAGTGTGAGAGGGGGAGGGAGTTGAGTCCATTATTTGAATGGACATTAACTTGGCGACTGTATTTCTCTATTTCTCTTAAGTATTAATTGTGTGCATGTACCATCATAAAATTAAGATGTTATTTTTACTACAACATAGGTATGTGCCTTCAAAAAGTGGAGTTTGGGGGTCGGGCCGGTTTCTATTGGAATTAATCCCATATGTTCTGTTGTTCACTTAACGCGGATTTCACTTAACACGGGACCCTCTGGGTTCTATTGACCGCGTTAAGTGGGGTACAACTGTACTTAATCTTATGGGGAAAAATTAGGATATGTTCCACAACTACTAAAAGTCAACAGTAATGCTATAAAAGTTGTGGAAAAATCTTTACAATTATCACAACCTGTAATCAAATGTACTGTACTAAGTTCTATAAAAAGCCATAATTTTGAGCAACATACAGTATTACTGTACTCACTTAGTACTCAAATGTACTCAGCTAAAGGACTAAAATATTTATCTCTAGTGCAAACTATGGGATGCTCATTCTCAAATTAATCACTATCTTGCAAGAATTCTGGTACGTCAAATCAATGACACTTAATAAGCGAAAAACTTAAACTCCCTCTTTTGTATAAGCCTCAGTCCCAGACCCCTCCCACCTCCTTTGATAACTACACACCCAGTAATCACCCTTCCTGGCTGTCAACACCTCACCTCCCCCCTCCCCCAGCTAGAAGGGCCTAAGGATTTTAGAGGGTAAAGGTGGTTTTAGGCTTAAAGTTTTCTCTTATAAAAAGTCACTGACTTGACTTAGCAGAATATAATTTGCATTGCTGAAATCCTTGCAAGATAACAATTAATTTGAGTATGAACCTCTCATAGCTTGCACAAGATATAAAAATTTTAGTCCTTAAGCTTAGTACATTTGAGTACAAAGTGAATACAGTAATTTTGCTCAAAATTGTGGCTTTTTCACAGGGAAAAAGTCTGTATAATTAACCCAAGTGGTCAGGATATTATGGCATTGAATGTTGGACTATTTCAAATAAATCCTTTTTTAGTTCTGTACATATATGCAAATTCCCATATCGTGAATGCTCATAAACCAAGGGTCCAGTATACAGTAAACTTGTGCCATAGCACTAACACTTTGTCATAAAGAAGTCCATTTAGCCTGGGCTAGGTTTATGAGGTCCGACAAAAATATAAATCATAAAAAAAAAAAAATAGATAAAACGAAACATGCTGTAGCGCTTCTTATTTACCAAATTAAAAAAATCATCTGTTATCGCCTTCAAAGTAGTTCCCTTCTGAGTAGACACACAGCTGCATACGATGCTGCCACAGTTCAAAGCAATTCCGCAGATCATGGTCTGTAAGGCTGTTGAGGAGCTCCGTCGTTTTTGCTTTCACCTCTTCTACCAACAAAAAATTGGTTCCTTTGAGCACAGACTTGATCTTTGAGAAGAGGTAAAAGTCGCAGGGAGCCAGGTCTGGCGAGTAGGGTGGGCGCTCAAGCACAGTGATGTTTTTATTGGCTAAAACTGCTTCACAGACAAAGCGTTGTGGGCTGGCTTATTGTTCATCTGACAGCTTTTTTGGAACCATTTTTGCACAAACTTTTGTCATGTTCAGTTCTTCCGTTAGAATGCGTCGAACACTTTCCCTTTCTAAATTAACTTTCTCAGCTATTGCTCGAACACCCAACCTACATTTTTTTCTAATTACAACTCGCATTTTTTTACTGTCTTCATCGGCAACTGCTGTGCGTGGACGGCCTGGGCGGTCATCATCTTTCACGGTTTCTCTGCCTTCCGAAAATCGTTTGTGCCATTCAAGAAAGAGTGCATGAGACGTGCAATCTTCAACGTAAGCCTCAGTCAATAATTGAAAAGTTTTTGTCACGGATCTCTTAAGTTTAGCGAGAAACTTGATGTTAACTCGTTCAGTTTTGCAGTCCGACATTATCGGACCGAGCGTAAGAACACGTCTGTACTTCAACACGCATCCACTTGTACTGAGTGAAGCGATCGAGTTGAGCCTTGTCACACTGTGACAGGTTAGAACATTTTCGATAACCATATTTTTGTCCCTCCCCTCCCGCTCATGGTTCCCAAGTTATAGGGTCAGTCTCGTTATTTTTGTGTCGGACCTTGTACTGTATGCTGATGTAAGTTGTATTGGTACCAGTAATAGTACATGTGATGCATTATTTTTTCTTTTTTTAACCTCGGCTTCGATGGTCTCAAACTTCCCGGACTAACGAGGTCAAACCTGTACTATTAAATTACAAGATTCCGCCTTACCATTCACTTACAACACAACATAAATAAAATTGAAGCTACCACAGGTCTTAGGTCAGACTCAGTGAACATGCAGTGGTTGCCAGTACCAAGGAGTTTTGCCAGAAAATACAGATTGCCTGGGGACTTGGCCTCTCATAGTGCTGTGCTTTTGAACTCTGAATTTATGCTGCAGTAGTTCTATTTACTGTATTATGTTTTAACTCCAAGTGAAGTACCGGTTGTGCTTCCATTCAACAGCAACCCATACAACGGAAATTCACATCTAACCTTAAAATTTGTAAGAAATATATTTAATGGCATTTTCAGCATTTACCGGCATATGCTGCAAAATTGAAATTGGCAGGTTAGTACAGTATACCTGTACTGTATTTGACAATTTTCAATTTTTTTTGTTCGATGATTCGTTCATTTTCTGTTCAGTTTTTACACCTGGCCATGCCTTGGCTGCCACAAAATGAGCTATTTATAATTACTGTGCAAACAAAAATATTTTTTTTAATGTACAGTAGCTAAAACAACTATCTGTGCAGGTGGGGGGTCGATATGCTCCGAAATTTTACGTGTGACTAGTGACAGCCCTCATATACCAATATTTATCGTCCATGGTCTCATATTGTTTCCCACAAAGTATGTACTGTATTCAGATAGTTGTTTTAGCTACTGTACATACAGTAATAATAAAGTAAATAATACAGTAATAAATAAATGTAACACTGCTTACAGTATTTTAAGTATTGTACACAATCAATCTTAATGAAAATTCATGTACTACACAATTTTTACCAATCTAGACATAGTCAGGAGTAGAAATTGTAGAGTTTCTATTGGTAGTTTATATTCCTTATTGAATACACGATTATATAGCTTAAGTCAGCTTACTAATTGATGGACTAATATTATATCTTTTTCTTTCCAAGTTGATTGTGAAGAGTAAACCCAGCAATCCCATGATGGTGCACTTCATGATCTTACGAGGACCATTTGGAGACATGCGAGTTGATCCTCACATATGTCAGTTTGAATTCACTGAGAATGGCACCGAAAGTCCCTTTTTTGCCTTGCCATTGCCTGATAGTGCCGAATGTAATAAACTTCTGGCTGCACGCATCATTGATTTCCGGTAAGTCTTTGACCTTTTGTTCCTGATTTTTTCAGTTACTGTATACTGTACTTCACCATTAATAATAATAATTTGTAAAATGAACTTTTTTTCAGTTCGTTACTTTGAAACATTGTTAGTTTGTATTTTTAATTACTTTTATCTTAGTTCCAAAAATTATAGAATTGAGATCCTGCTTTTTCAAGTGGTTCAGAAAGGTCTTAAATGGAAAAAGGAGATGTCTCATTCATCAGTTATGGATCACCAGAACTTGGAAGTCCTGATAGATTTTGTTTCTTAAATACTAGAAAAGCGGGCTTTTTAGAGGTTAGAACCAAGTTAATTTGTGTCCTAAGGCTTCAGGAGGTCGTTGAGTGGTTTAGAGCTGAAAGAGTATCATGAGTATATCTAATGAGAAGTTTTTGATGGTCAGGATTCGTTTAGTAAGGTTGAGCCTCTGAAGACAGCCAGTGTCAGTTAACTTTACAGATGCTTATTGGCACATTCCACTCATTGAATATTAGGTTTTTAACTTTTCAGTTTGAAAAAACAAAAAACCCAGCTCAAAGCCCTTCTTTTGATTTGAAGGTAACATCAAAGGTCTTCACAAAACTATCATGAGTAGTTTTGAATTTGATTAATAAAAAAAGGAACTACAGTACTCTATTTCTGTCTCTGTGGTTAGTTTTGTGTCCTACTAAAGAAGCAATGTACTGGGTTATTGAGATAGTGTTGGGCATTATTCCTTGTCAGGCAGGGTTCTTGGTGAATTGGGCAAAGTTTAGACTTATTCTGACCAAGAGTTGAAGTGGTAATGTTTACTGCAGACCTATAAGGAAGACTGTACTTACTTGAAAATTTTTTTTTCTGTATGATGATTAATGTTTACTCCTCTCAAGAAGGATTGTTTCATAAAGGCAGTTTTAGAGAACTGAAGATAAGATAGATTTTGCACTGGGCTATTTTTTCTTAAATTTGGTGTCATTGTGAACAAATCAGTCTCTGAAGGCTACTATTTACCATCCTGGCTTCAGTCTACCTTGAAATGGTGGAAGGTCAAGATATGACTGCTTCAGCACTATGATTAATCAGGGTGAACAGATGAATCAAACTGGCCAGCTTACTTGCCAGTCAGGCAATTGCTCAGTTCAATTTTCTGTTAATGTTGCCAAATAATGGACATGCATGGGTTCTCTAGCCAGAATAGTAAGAGATTCCATTCCTTTCAATTACCAAGTATAGGTATTCCATATTTTTCTTTTATTCTTTTGACTTGGGGAGTCTGTACCTTCTTTAGATGAGTATTTTGTACTTTCTTGACAACATGTCTATAATTGCCTTAATGAAAAATAGGACTTCTGTGTCTTTTCCCTTCTGGACAGGAGATATAGCATGATGGCCGAGACCCTAAATTTAGCTAGCACAGCAATGCCTGCTGCCTGGCTACTAACTGGTAAAATATTAGGATTTCAGAATCTGTCTTCCATTTTTCACTATTTTTGATTGAGAATTAATGTTTTCAGCATACAGTATTTATAAGAAAATACATAAGGCATTTACAACTGTCAGACAAGCTTCTGTAAAGAAAAGATTCAATCTCATTTAAAATCTTTTAGCTCAATAGTACTGTATTTCTGCATTTTTCCTTTCTCAATAGTTAGAGTACAGGATATTTGTTATTCGAAACAATTGAAAGAACTCATTGCCAATTTTACTTTTTGATATTACACTGTACCCTTGTTAAACCAACAAAAAAGGGGCTCTGGGTCACTCGAATTACCTAAAAATCTGAATTAACCTAGTTCAGAATATTTTGACATTACGTATTTGACAATTTCTGAATGTTTGGGTTCGATTATTTGTTTCTGTTCAGTTTTTGCACCAGGCCATGCTTTGGCTGCCACAAGATAATCTATTTATAATTACTGTGCAAACATAAATATTTATTTTTTAAATGTACATACTGTACAGTAATATTAAAGTAAATAATACATTAATAAATAAATGTAACACTGAGGTGAGCTGATGAGGTTAGGTGAAATAACAAGGCACTTACACAGCACATACATTAACAGCACTACTAAACCATTGTCTTATAACGTTATAATTCAGAATTTCAATTTTAAAATTAATTGGTACATGACGGCTCAATTGGCTACTTTTGTACTTAGACAACCGATCAGTGAATAAACCAGGGCATATGGAAACGGTATATACACTACAATAATATTTATTAAGTTCTGATAAATACTCTACAATATTATTTACTAAGTGCTCAAGACAGATCATGTGGTAAGCACCAACCCTCTTGAGCAGTAATAACAATGGTGCTTGAGAGATGGGGAGTGCTGGCACATTATTAGGGAGAGTGGATCAGCGGGAACAATCATCTGTTACCGCTCTGTAAACAAGAGAGGAATATACTACAGCACAATAGCTCATCTGGGATTGAGTGTGGGATTTGGGGGAGTGGGGGATTTAATTATTTTTGGATAATGTTTTATTAACCCGACACCAAATGAACCTAAATAATATGAGAATTGTGGGTGAAATTGCATTCAGTTATAAAGGGATTGTGGGCTGCCAAGTGGTAGGTGGTGAGTTGATCTCTGCTCCCTCCTCCTCCACCACCCGCCATCTCCTTTCCACTGCTACGCACCCAAATGTAGTTTTATAAAGTATTTTAATAATTCTATTCCTATAATTCATTCATCTTGATCTATTTCATAATATATTCCTATAATAATTATTGACTTTTTGGAACCACTCGCTTATTTCAGATTCATTCCGAATTCAAATCGTTTAATTCATATTTGAAAAACAAACATACGAATTAAGCTAAATTCTAAATTATAATGATCCAGATTAACAAGGGTACAGTGTACTCTTACTACTCTGCAACCTCATACCCTGTATAGACATTCAAGATAAAAGAACTAGGCTTGTGTTTCCCATATTTCATAAAACTAATCACTTCTAAAGCAAGCATCAAACTATACCAAAGCATATGTTAGATGTTAATTTACACTTTTGCCAGGTTGATGATGGGGATGGTGACCAAGTAAAAGTTGAGGGTGTTTCGGTGTGGCACACAGCACCACCATTGTAGGAAGTTGTCCACTACTCGTGCTATTGGAAAAACTCATCTTCACCTAACACGTGTACGCTCAATTTCTCCCAACATTTTAATTTACTGATATATTTGTTTTGTTTAAGTTTTAAAACATCATGGTTTTTGTAAAACCAACTAAAATTTTATATATATATATATATTTCATGTAGATCCACAATGAAAACGTGGATAAGATAAATCTTGATAAAATCACACGGGAAAAGGGAAACAATGGAGCACCTTGGCTTTCGTCTTTATTCAAGACATCTTCAGAGGCCTCTGAAGATGTCTTGAATAAAGACGAAAGCTAAGGTGCTCCGTTGTTTCCATTTTCCCGTTTTATTTTATATATATATATATATATATATATATATATATATATATATATATATATATATATATATATATATATATATATATATATATATATATATATATATATATATATATATATATATATATTATATATATTTATATATATATATGGTGCAAAGTACGTATATGAAAATTCCTCTAACTTTAATCAGTAACAAACTTTGTGAATGGGTAAGGAAAAAATAATTTACTTGCTGTAATAATGAAAATTTTGTGTAACCTTGGTGAAAGGAGTAGAGTTACTTATGCTAACCATTGCTAACTAAACATGACTATTATAGGTAAAGTTACAATTGGGTTAGGCAAATTAGAGCTTGATTTACAAGTTTAGTTTTGGTGGATTCCAGCTGTGTTATTGTTACTGTACTATAAAAAAAAACTAAATTTTATATAAAAACCATGCTATTCATCTCTAGTGACTGCAAGTATGATATATATATATATATATATATATATATATATATATATATATATATATATATATATATATATATATATATATATATATATATATTTATATATATATATATATACTGTACTGTAGATGTGTGTGTTATGGTTTGCAGATATGTTTGCTGAATATAGCTCACAAATTCTGCAATATTTACATCTTTATCTGTATATCTGTTTTCTTCTTTGACAAAAGAAAAACTTATCTTCAACAAAGAAATAACTAAGGACTGCACACATGTGTCAGTCAGTTTATGGCTACTCTCCTATATTAGGTAGATATCAATCATATCCTTATTCATCAACATCCCAGTAAACAGTAGATCACTTTATTTTAAGGGAATGTGAATGTTCAGACATTTTCTCATACATATTAATATCTTGTAATACTACACAGTGTTCCTCTCCCTTTCTCGTCTACTAGTGGGGCTACAAAATTAACGGGAAAAGTCTGCTTATCATTTAACTGAACAAAATAATACTTTCAGTTCACACTATACTGTATACAAATTACAATTTATATGGCTTTTGATGTGTATTTTTGTATTGTCTATAATTTCACCTTTCTCGGTCATAATTTCGAGGTATGAGCATACTGTACTGTTTTACATGGAAACTTAATCCAAAAGAAAATTATGTATTTAACATATTTCATTGTGCACGAGATGAATTATCATGCATACTTATGTTTATGTATTATAATAGAAATTTGTTTTTCATAAGAGTTGTTTTCAAATGTGGTATACAGTATACTGCAGGTATTACTAGGTACTGTACTGAGATACACAGATTTGTACCTCCATTGGAACAATTACACACACTATACAGGTATAATTTCAAATATTGTACTTGTACACACAAGTGCACACTCGTATAAGTAGGCACATGCTCTCAGTATTCCTATACTTTCACACACTATATAATTTTGAGTATTGTATGGCTATATCTACTACATACACACATACAAATATTATTTGTGTTTGTTGACACAAAATACACACAAGCATAGATATGTCCATGTCAATTGTGATTATATATTTTTCTCAAACATATATGCTGTGATGCAGGGTAGCTGGATAAGTGCTGTTCCCTAATCCTTAGCACTCAACAGCTAGTGGGGTACCCCATCCTCTTGCCAGGATGCTAGTCCACCAAAAGGTTGTTCTGTCATTGGCAAGCGAGTGCGATAGTATCCACTGAATAATGTATACTGTACATTGTTGAGTGCACAAGTCAATGTACAAATAAAAAACCTAAACATCCAATCTAGTTAGGGATAAAATTCATGACTATTTGCTTGTGAGACAAGTGTTCCACCTACTATATAATGAATGCAAAAATAGAGAGAAAGATGACTCATCCTTCATGATCTGGAATGGTAATGAACTGAATGCATGTTGAGATTGTCTACTGCTTACTTGTATGGGAAAGTATTGATTTTTCTTTGTATAAGGAAAATAAAGAGGTCATTGCCTATGATACTGTACGTAACCAATTAATTTTTGAGCTTGATGCAGTCAAGGATATACAGTACAATAGTTTTTAGGCTGTGTAATTTACTTTGTGAATAACAAGAGCTCCCTAGTACTGTACTGCAACATAGTATTTGTGCTGCATAAGTGAATTTACTTGTAATAAGCAACTGAAATTACCTATTCATTTCATTGAACACCTACATTTATTAACTGCTTTGGATGCAAAGGTGAATATGAATTAAATTTGACTGCAAGAAACTGTATAGCAAACATAGAAAATGGTCATACAATTATGATGAAAATCCTCATCATACTCAAACAGAATATGTATAATAATATTAACTTTAATGATGCATGATGCTTAGTTATGAACCCAGATCATGAAGTATATCCACACAGCAGTTCAGTACAGTACCTAATAGGACTCAAAAAACTCCTTCATTCATCAAAAGGTTCTTGGACAAGATGATACTCTTAACTACTTTGTCAATTTCCAAAAGAATTCTTTCTAAATCTAGCCAAGAAAAGTTTTACTTATTAATTTATTTATTTTTCATCATCATTTCACTACTTACGAGCTTACTAGCTGTTCAGGCAGTTGGTCTGTCCAGTGTTAGTACAGGAGGAAACCTGTGATGTTTGGTAGGGTCACACTGGATAACACCCTTCCTATGTGTGTCCGAGCCAAGCAGGACTTGAACTCATGCCGTATTGGTGAGAGATACACATGTTACCATGAATGCTTGATGATGTATTGGGTTGTTTATAACAAGATGTGCTGTTTGTTTGTATGTTGATTACAACTCAGATTTATGTGTTTGAGCAAATAATGTTTAACTTTCCACTTCATCAGTATATGACAATATTAACAAACAAAATTTAAGGAAAATTTGTAAGAATATCTTATCACTACACAGCAGTGTAGTTTTGGGAGACAGTAACACTCAAAAACTTGTTTTAAACTTTAGCATTGGTCAATTCATCCTATAAATAGTTTTGTTAATGAAAGTGTCACTTTAAAACAATCTGATTATTATATTTTCTGAGCATCAAATTTCTTTATGCATGTTTTTATTATAAGTAGATGAAACACATTTTTTTCTCTGTAATTGCAGAGCAGCTGGAATGAAGGGCAAATACTGACTCATTCTTCAATCATTGTCACTTATTCATTTTTACTGCTGTAATAGTTGCATTCTCGTATGGTAGTCCTCTTCCACAACAAGACTTTGTGTATCCACTTAGTTTACCCATCACTTTACACAACCTCGCTTCACCCATCAACAACATGTTCATCTCCAAAAAACCCTTTACACTATATTCTTTAGACATTCTAGCACATAACAGCTTCCAGGCCCTTCATGCCTGTTAAATTCTTCACCCCATCCTTCGGTGTCCTTCTTGGTGTTCTCCTCTTCCGTCTGAATTATATACACTTTATTTTTACCGGTACTGTACTGTACAGTATTTCATTTCCCATGTTCTTAGTATGATTGCATCACCTGGGTATAATGTGTATCTATTATGTTTTATTTATTTACATAGAATTCTCTCCAGTGTAAGTAATGTTGTGCTCCTTATAGTATATTACCATAGAGATGTATTGTTTATGAAATTACATGTATCACGGATGAATGTTTTATGTATTTAAAAACCACTGTATTATCATATCATTTGATAATAATTTTATTGTTATTTTTGTAATTATGATTATGGTAAGTACAGTACATGTATTATGATATTAATTGTAGTAGAATTGTTAGTAAGAAGACTGAATTATAATTGGTTAGCTGTGTGATTAAAAACATATTGGTAACTGATAAGAACTCAATGAGATACACTACCAAGATCTCCATTAACTTATAACTAAACACTCAAGGTGTCTCTGTAACAGTGCCACAGGTATCACATGTAGCCTACACTGTAAAGGTACTATAAATCAATCAGTTTTGTACTGTGAATTTTTTTCTATTCTCCCTGTACACTATACTGGACTTCTGCATTGTAGCTGTATACCAAGCTTGAAAAAGGGTCATTTGTTGGGAAATGTACATTCTGGATAGATATTAACTTATATTTATTTAAATTTATTTAAATATTTTGCCATTGAATTATTTCTTAAATAACTTCAAAACTCTGTGAAAACCCTGGTGGTATGAATGTTCATTCTATTTCTAGATTCTTCTGACCATTATTGTATTTGTAGGTCTGCTATGAAAATGACAATGAATAGATTTTTTTTTTAATTTCCTTAGATGTACAGTGTATCACCAAATAATGGCAGGTCTGTACATACTGTTGACATCAAATTGGATCCTCATTTTTATCATCAAATACTGCTTTGAATTCTGTTGATATAAATACACACTCAAAGGTTAATTTTGAAAAGGAATGTAATATAATGATATATTGTAGCTACTATAAAGAAAGTGCTGTAAAATTTAGCAGAGTTTTTACTCTTTAATTTGAGTTATATAACTATGGTATACCTGTACAGTAGGGTGGTCCAAAAATTAAAAGTTGGAATTTTAATTTAGGCACATGTCGCCCTAATACCTTTACCCCAAACATGTATTCAGGCAAAATTTCAGTTACTTATCTCAATATTCAGGGGTCCCGCATTTCGTGAGCAGTGAGGGTGAACTGCTCTCTGAAGAGGAAGATCTTAAGAGCATAAATGGCCTTTGTCATCCATCTGGCTTGGTGGAAGGCCCCAGGTGCCCTAATCTTCACACCTCCCTCTGGAATTTCCCCCAAGAAGGTGTATGACAGGACAATGAGTTCCTTGTAATCGTCCCTGAGGTGAGCTAGATTTTTTATGAGACTAAAATAACAAAACGTTTTGCGGGACCCCAAAATATCAACCAATTTTCTTCAAATTTTCTACAAAGCTAGTGTACATGAAGTGCAACGAGGGCACCATGTGATTGCTTGGTTCA